CTCACCTATGTAGGTATAGACCTCTTTATTGTATTTAGTCAAATTGAACACCAACCGTATTTATTTCAAATGTACACTCAGACACAGAAAAGCTACCAACAGCTTCTTTGTGATCCTTTTAACCTTATTTTTGGGGTAAACAAGGGTCAAGTTTCATTTATTACCTGACTACTAAAGGAGTTATTCTGATAAATAGGTTGCAATAATTTTGAGGCTCAGGGACTCCAGGTCAAATATCTAGATAATCAATGTCTAAGCAAAATGGGAGATTCAACACTTATATAAGGAAACAAGTTAGCTTTCTGGAGGGTACATTTTGTTGTGTTATTTCCTTTTAAAATGAACACAACTCTGATTTAGGATGATAAATCATAATCAAGTTTTTCTAAGGGAGTGAAGAATAACTGGGAGAAATCTTGAAGGAGATTAGGGAAAATTAGTTAGGTAGGAATCCCAACACTCTGACCTAAAAAAGCCTCAGTTTCTCAGATATAAAAATGGTATATTTTACTGTGAAATATGAGGGGGTTGCACAAAAATATAGGTGAAAGGAAATAAGAACATTTCTTGGAAAATGAAAAAGATTTATGTCTTACATGGGTGATGATCAATTAAGTATATATATATTTACAAAATTGTATCATTGTATACATAATGACTCTACATTTCATAGTGTATAAATGTTTTACTCTACAAATAATGCAATATAGCCTCCTTGAAAACTCTAGAAATTAGAATTAGTATTGAAAACTTCAAAGATGTGCTCATATTACTTCCTATGGCATTTCTATTGAATTCTCTAGTAGAATAAGTACAAGATTTAAGGCATTATGGAAAAATGATGAGAAGTAACAATTTTATTAGAATGGTGTTTTATATTGGTTTCTTGAACTTATGATTTAGTTACTTCAAAGAAAAATATTCTAGTTCCTAGAATTTGTAAATAAATATTCTTAGAAAATAGATATTCTGATTTTTAAATCTGATACTAATGAACTTCAGAAGGAGTTTATTTTCACATATAATATATCATTTTCTTGCATTGTCCAAAATTGATTCACTGACTTTGGTCACATAACTCAGAGAATATTATATGTTTCATTACTTTCATAACACTAATAAAAACTAGTTCATTGAAATTGGCAAGTATCCCAAATGACTTGATACTCATACATGCACAGAAATAAATTATGTCTAATTACAAAACCTGCTGTAAAAAACCTTCATGTTTATCCAGTGCTTTAAAAAATAAAGAGCCATAAAAAGAAAAGAAAATTTGTCTCACATTTACATTTACCAGACTGTCCTTGGAGTTTCTCTATTGATGAGATCCAAAATTGTACCTGGAGATGCAAAATTGTATGGGAAGTATAAATGTGCCCTTTATCTTAAAGGCGAATACATATTTCCACAGGCATTTAGGTACTATATATTCAGAGAAAATTTGCACACACTCTTTGTTCTTTTCAAGACTCTAGACTACATCATTATATCTATTTTTTTTTATTTAGATGAGAAACCATTGCACAAATCTGCCATATATATTTTTTTTTTTTTATTTTCCCATCTCTTTTGCCATTTAGCTCTTTGGTATAATTTGATTGGTATATGAACATCTCTGGCAATTTTACAAAGATGAGATCTCCTATTAATACTATACTTGTGGGAAGTCATCATCAAACATATCTTTTATATTTTCTCATTTTTGTGTGTACTTTTTTGATTCAAGTGACTTTTAAACTTATGGATTACTTTGAAATGGGTCATAGTAATATGGATATGGTGAACACAAAAAAATACTTAATCAAAGTATAAAGCATTTAAAGTCACTTTATTTAAATTTATAGAAAGTAAATGTGGCAATTATTTTGATTATAATTATAATTGTGTTAATTATAATAATCATGTATGAATTATTCTGAAATCCAAAATGAAGCAAACATATCTCTTGTGTCTGATAAGACAGCTTTATCTTAAATAGCTGTCTAGAGTATATTTTCTTATAACTTTTTAATGTATGATTTTTGTTTGTGAAAAAAATAATTCCACAGTCTTCACAAATGTTACAGCATGATTATTGTACATGATAAATTTATCAAAGTTACTTAGAATGGATCTGTGAATGTTTTGTTATCTTTTCAAGGGTTTAGAAACTTAGGATATGAGTAAAACTTAATATTTTTCAATTATTTTCACCTAGAGAATACGTTGCATTTTATATAAAATCAGACAATTCCATGGACTGTGGTAGAATCTAATATGCAATAACAAGGAAAGAAAGATTTATTTAAAATAGCAGGAACCTTTGGTAGTACTGTGTAAGATTTATTTTAAGGATGAGGAAATACTCCATATTGATTTTAATAGTGGGAGAGGAAAGTATGACAGAAAAATGGCAGGAATTAGCAGGAAGGAAATGGTTGTTTATGAAGTTCATATATTGTATTAAGCTTAATCTTCCTTACTTCACTTAATTTTCTCAGTAACATTTTGAGGTCACTGTTGTTCAATATTTATTTCATGAGAGTTAGGGCTGTATTAAAGTAAGTAATTTGCCATGAAATTTCAAAGTTAGAGTGGTCAAAATACATTGATTTTTTTTTCACATCTAACATCAAAGTTCCTGTTAAGGGAGAATTGTCTTGTTAAAAGAAAATGATTTGATGGGCCAGTTGGGATAAAAAGCATGGCTTTGGGAATAGATGGAGGCAGGAGTTGAAACCACATACACACACATACACACACACGGCACCCCTCCCTATGCACACACAAAGCAACATTTTTCATTAGAAATTAAAGGAGTGAGAAATCATGACTAGGTGAGATGTGAAAGAAACACTTAAAATTACAAAAACAAATAAACCAAACAAACAAATAAAACGGGGTGGGGGGTCAGAGAAAGTGAGGAAAATTGAAAACAAAGGGTTTTTGTAAACCTAGGCTCTCCATGAACTAAAAATCCAGATAAGTGCCTCAGTAGATATAGACATTTTAAGAATCAAGCATTTCTAAATGCAACGTGACTCAGCCTTATGTTCCTCAAATTCTCAGTGAAAACTATAAAATTTTGTGTAAACAGTTTTCTTGTTGTGATTGTGGTGATGTTTTGAGATTTGGACATGAGTCCAGAAGCAGACTGGAAGTTGCAGCCCAGAACAGACATAATTAGAAAATAAAATACCCTGAGTTTAGAGACTATCAATTGTTCACAGAATTTTGTGTTCTTTTCCATTCATATAGATCTTAAGTGTTAAAACACGTCATTTAATACCTTCCATTTATTTAGCCTGTTTTGTTTTTAATTTTCTAAACACTGAGAAATAATATCATATTGAAAACCATGAGTTTGGTACATTTTGTACAAAATACTACTAAAAACATTCTCGAAATTCAAAACGAATTAGTGAAACTATAAATTAATTTTGAGAAGAAATAAGCTTATGCAATTCTGTCTAAGATGTATACTTTAAAGTTTCTAAATACAAGCTTTGCCACTTGTTTCAGTAAATACATAAAATAAATTTGTAATTAGGAGCATCTGTTTGGTTATAAACACACATATGTTATACCTCATAAAGAGAGATTATTCTCTTAAGTAAGCCAAACATATTTCTTTTAGCATCCTTTATAATTTGAGTCTTCGAGGGGGGAGGAAAAATACTTTCTAGGTATATATTTAAGACCTGCAAAGCATAATGATTAAGAATATAAGATGCACATTCAAGATAATATAATTCAAGGTAATCCTGCACATTCAAGATAGTCCTGCCTCATTCACCTCATATCTGAGTGGACTTGGGGAAACTTCTGAACTATTTTCAGACTTTATTTTTCTCATCTTTAAATAATGGCATTTCATCTATCCATTTGGATCTAATGGTTCACCCTAATGTTTAGAGGAAGAACCAATCACCACAATTCTATGGGAGAGGAATTTGGACCTTTTACCAGGGGACAGTGACATTTAATTCAGTGTCTGGGGCCTGTGTTCTGGCTTTCAGCTGAGTTTTAATAACTTCTTCCTGTCCAAGCCTACCAACTCAGTGTTTCTTGTCCTCTCTTTTTCCATGTAACCATTCATACTACCTTCTAAGTTGGTTGGGTTCTTCACAGTTTGATGTCCCTAGAGAGTCAGCCATGTTATATGGTGCCTGGTTTTAAACAAGCAGGGAGTAGAAACTTCCAGGCCAATTAAAGGTTATAGCAAGAAATGGTCACTTACTTCATGATGTCTCTCCCAGGACATTTGCTGATTATAAAGAAATTATTGGGCCTAACCTGACTCAAGAGGATGAGTGGTAAAGTCATCTGGCAAAATTGTATGTCTGATGGAAGTTATGGTTCTGGCTATTTTGAAGAAATACTGTTTAGTACACAGGATAATGATGTCTATCTTTTAATATTTTTTTAAAGTTTAAAAAATCTATCAGGGTCTGGTGCATGTTCAATAAGTGATATAATTTCATAAGATTGAACAAAAGTAAAATTCAGTCCAGTTCAGTTCTGATTAAAATAAATTATCAGATAGTAAATTTGAAATAATAACTGTACAAAAATAGTGTGATTTAACGATAGTAGTATATCTGAATAAATAAAATCAAAATAACAGTATAGGAATATTTAAAGTACATAAACTGAGTACAGTTTTGGAAACTACTGTTATGATAACAGGCATTAACATTATCAACTAGTCATTGTGGTTGTTCCTGGCCTAATGGGAAGATACTAGAGAGCTTTTGCAACACAGGCATGGATACAAAGGGCAAGATTTATACCGAAGGAATCTCGGAATGATCAGAAAGAAGCAGTTAAGAAATTTAAATTAGTTTGAGAAAAGTCGTTTTTTTTTTTTTTCATATTGTAAAAATTCACATTCAACTGTTAAAAAACTGAAGTTGGTAGTCATGGAGAAAATCATTTGCAGTTGGCTTGAATAAGGCATGATGGTTTAGGAATGCTGGAGCAAATTGTCAGGAATCACATAGGGCCTTAGCATTTACCTTTATTTGACTGAAAATTCTCTCTTCTCTCTCAAGCCAAAATCAAGTATCTTGAAAAACTGGGATGATATCCGGAGCTGAAATAAAAATTTGATAAAATCCTGTTATCAGGTTTTAGGCTTTTTTTATTTATTGACATCAAACTTTCTTTCCATTTTGATATGCTTTTTTTTGTGACCTCTTATTGATTGATAATTTGACAAAATGCACCTAAACTGAAAGAACAACAACAGACCCTGAATCATGTGAACACTTCTAATTCATCAGAGATTGAAATGGAGAGAGTATGTTTATCACTCTAAATTCTTCTGGTAAATCTGTATAAAGAATGAATATTTCAGGAGTGTGAGTCACACTTATATTTATATCAGCACCTACATTTTTACTTGCATTGGCTTGCCACACACTAGGAGAAGTAAAGCATTATTTGTTTCCAGTTTGGTGCTAATGTACATGAGTAATGCACTAATAAATATTGCAAGCAAATCAATTGTACTTCCTAATAGTAAGGTGAACAGCAATAGCATTTTATGCATGATCATAGGAGATTGAGCACTAAACCTGAAAAGAGATGATTCTAACCCTGACATTTCATTATTTCCTGGGATTTGTGCATCTCCCTTAATGTACGGTTAATGTAATTTGAGGTTATGAATCTTTTTTATAGTCTTACTCTATATTCTTAAAGTAACAAATCTCAGGTTGTGATTATAGCAGAACACATTCACATATTTCTGACCAGAAAACTAAACACTTAGAAATTTTCATTCTTCCTGTGAAAATATATAAATCCTATTTATTTTTCACTGGAATTTATACTTTGCGTGAGTAATATCTGACTTATATTTGTTGCTAGTAAAATTTTCAAAATCTATCTCATTCAGCTCATTGATTCCGGGGGTTGAAATAACAAGAAAAGATCAACAATGGAAATATTGGTTTAGCTGTAAATGCCATGTAATTGATCATCTCAGGGACTCTCTCTGCCCACTGAGTTTATACCCAGCGTCAGTTCAAAAAGGCTCAGTGCCTTCCATGAACAATCTTGGAGCCAGAAATGAATGAATTATCTTCAGAAGTATTGAAATATCTTCAAAGGGGCTTTTTTCACTCATTTTAAATCTGAATGGTATGAAACACTGTTCTTACTCATAAAAATCTACTTGCTTTCCTACATAAAATGTATATAGATTTTTCTCTGTGGTATGCAGATGAATTGACATTTGGGGCTACATCTCTCTCAACTTGTGTATATGGATGCTTAAGCACTTAGTTAAACTCCTCCAAACTCCATATCATTGTTGAAATCCACTAACCAGACATAAAAAGAATCACTCTTGTCTGCAAGCAAAGTAAATTTGGAGAGTTGTATAGTGAAAAGATCATAGAGTCAGTGAGAAATATAGAGCACCTCAGTAAGAGTGAGTTGGAAGAAATTTTAGGATTTGGAGTAGTAGTCTGTAATTTTTGGAGCAATTAGAGGCAAATGCCAGTTCTGAATCAGACACTGTCAAATATTAGAATACTGTTGATTCGATGTAACTTCCATTCAGGAGGTAGGAGGACTGAGAAAGGACTAGAGGTGGTGATAAAAAAAATCTAATCACTGCACAGAAGGAGGGAATTGTCATGTTTGCAGCTATATTGTAACCTTGTCTAGCACTGTTTGAAGCATAGTTTACCTTCTAATGGCCTCATTCTCAACAGGGCTAATATTTACTTACTCATTATGTTGGGTACAACATGGAAAATTCTTGAGTCCACACTGTATTCTTTTTCAGAAGTCTATATTTGTCAGGATTTCAAAAGTCTTGAGAAAATTCAAGTTAAGAAGAAGGAAGATTGTTAGAAGAGTTAGACTGAAGCTGCATACATATAGTCAAGCCCTGAAAAACATTTCAGCCCCATGATAAATAGTATATAGGATGGTGACCCCAAGGTGATGGAGCAGAAAACTCCTAACAACGTGATGGTCCAGCCATAGTAACATTTTAGGACAACACATATTGACATATTTGTGATGATGCTGGTTTAAATAAACCTACTTTACCAACATTCACATAAAAGTATATATATTCATGTACAATCTAAAATATTTGATAAACATATGTAACAACAGTTACTGGTTTATGTGTTTATTATACTAGGCTTTTTTTATCATTTAATAGTGTACTTCTTCTACTTGAAAAAAATTTGATTGGAAAGCTGTGCTGTTAGACAAGCAACAGCCACCCATATTTTGTGTTTACAGCTCCTCTGATTGCATCAAAAAGGCTACACTGAGTGATTTGCCAGTGCTATCTAGGCTTGAGTAAGCGTACTGCATGATGTTCATTCAACACAGAAATCATTTAAGGATGCATTTCTTAATCCCCATCATTGGGAACACATCCCATCATTAAGAGGAATGTGTTTTTCTTACACACACCCACACATCAACAGACGCATACACATATATATGTATGAAATAGATACAAATATAAATACATTTCTGATTCTCTAATGTGTGAAAAGTTATATATAATACACATAGATATTATATATACTGTATATATTTGATGTCTAAGTCCTCTAATAAATTATGTACAATAAATATAAAACAAATTATATAAGTATTAATTCATTTATAAATGTGTAAATAAGCACACATATTTATACGATATGTATATATTTATATATATTTATGTATATTTATGTATATATATGTTAATTTAAGTCAAGCTCTGAGCATGGTCTTTATGGTTACAATAAGATTTATCATTATAATACTCAAAAGATTCCTAGAGTAATTTCTGTTGCACAATTCACTTATGATGATCACTGTTAACAATACAATGTTGGGTTCAGTAGCTTCTTCTCCCAATAATATCATCCTTATAGGTTCTATCAACATTCACCTTTTGCATAATGTCCTTTCTGTTCATTCCAATCCCCAATGATCTCTCTTTTTACATAGCACTTCAGTGTGTGAACTATCAATTTGGTTATTTAATAATGTGTACCATCTAGAATTATTCCCAGGGCAGCCTATCTTCTACAAAATTTGTGTTTACTCTTCCCAACTTTACTCACTTTAAGTGATTAGAGCTAACAATTGTAAGAAGGGCTGCCATTACTGCCTCACTGCCAACCATGAAAAATTCACTCTGCTAGATCTCTGATATTCATTAATTAGTAATAAACCTATTGAGACTTTATGTGAATTATTGCAAGAGAATAAAACTAGGTTCCAAGTGCCGTTCTTCTCTCTTTGAATACAGAGTTAAGTTACATAAGTAGAGTCATAGAATTTACCTTCAATAGTAATGTTTGATATGTACAACAGTTTTGTAAGACTGATATCACAGAAGACAAAGAGAGTGCTAAGTGATTCATACAGCCTTCTTTTCTCTCAAAACATAACAAAGCAAAACCAAATGAAAGTTAATGTTTGATTGACCAAGATTCCTTTTTAAAATGATACAAATGTCCTTGGTATAAATAGACAGATTGAACGTCATCAGCAACAAGATGTTTTTATAGCTTTTTATCATCTATGACGGATGGTACCCTATTTCAATGACATTTCATTTCTTCATTTTCACTATCAGCAGCAGCAGCATAACATAGGGTGGAACGCCCACTCTGAGGGCCCACATGGCAGATATATTGCTCCTGATTATATTAGTCAAGAGAACATGCATACACACACCCGCATACTTAGATATTCGTATGTATGTTTATGTATATCTAAGTGTATTTGAGTATATATATATATATACACATACATGTATGTGTACTCACACACACACACACACACACACACACACACACACACAGAGAGAGAGAGAGAGAGAGAGAGAGAGAGAGAGAGAGAGAGAGGGAGGGAGGGAGAGGGAGAGAGATTTTATTTTTAAAAATTGGCTCATGCAATTGCTAGGCTGGCAAGAACAAAAATTCTCACTTAGACTGACAGACTAGACTAGAGACCATGGAATTAATTATATTATAGATCAAATTTGAATGTAGTCTAGAAATAAAAGTCCCTTTTCTCTGAAAGACCTATGTTTCTTTTCCTTCAATGCTTTCAAATGATTAGATGAGACCCACCCACATTATGGACTATAATTTCCTCAGTCCACTGATTTAAATAATAGCATAATCTAAAAGAATGCCTTCCCATAGCACTTAGACTCTTCTTTTTTTAACCATATCCCTGGGTATGTTGGTCTTCCCAATTTGACATGTAAAATAACCATCACACAGTTTGTGCTTTCACACTCAAGTCCATCTCTATAGAGTTTCAGATTTTTCATCTTCAGCTTGCTGGCAAGCACAATGTGCTTCATATATTAAAAAAAGAGAAATATTATTGATTGAGTGCATAAGACAACATCTTCATTCTCATTTCAAATGCTGTTCTGTGTGATTCTAAGCAAAATTAAAATCTCAAAGCAATATAGCCATTTTGGTTTCCCTCATGATATTTAATGAGAGTTATTTGTAACCAAGACTACCCAAGTCAAAGTGATTATAATCAGTCCCAAAGTTATATTTTGATTGCAATAAATAGATCAAATGTTCATTAATATTGAAGCCAGAGTACTAAATCTTCTGTTCTTTCCTCATTTATTTTTATTAGCATTTTTAAAATTTCAGATAAGATCTAATTAATTTAAACTACATTCAGACAAACTGGTTTAATGAGAATAAAAAGGAAGAAATCATGAAATGCTTATGTTAAGAGGAAAAATAGTGTCATGAGAGACACAAGAAAAAGGCTTTCTACAAAAATAATGCTACACTGAATCTCCTAATCATCCACTGCAAAACATTTGACAGAAATTCTCCCCTGGGTTCACATAACTCCATAAACTCCTTAAATTCTATCCCCTAAAGTTTCTTTTTTCCCTTAAACAGTTAATTTAAATGTAGTCAAATATATTTTTCTCCTTTACAAAATTATTTCATTTGTTTTTATTTTATATTTTTTTATGTGTTTCCAGGAATCGAACACAGTGCCTCTCATGCTAGGCAAGTGCTTTACCACTGAGCCACAAACCCAGCCCATATTTTCCCTTTTTGATCCACTTTCTAACAATTCAAGTAAAAAACAAAAAATAAAAGATTTAAAAATTATGTGAAATAAATAGGGAAAGGAAATGTCACTTTTTAAATTTTCTTAAGTATCACATCTACATTTTTACTTAGAACTTAACTAGATTTGAATTTATGAGATGCAGGTTGTTTTAGAATGAAAGAAATTCATGTTTATTCATATTTCTTTGTGTTTTATTTTATCCATATATAAATACAATTTATTCATATAGAGGGCTTTAATATATAGTTAGATTAATGCATTCCAAATTTTTTAATTTTCATGTTTGTATGTACATGCAAAATTTTATACATAATTTCCATTTCAATGTTCCTTTGTTTAAATTAGAAATTTTATTTTTTATTTTTTTATTTTTTGCAGAGGAGGAAATTGAACTCAGAGGTGTTCAACCACTGAGCCACATACCCAGCTCCATTTTTTGTGTTTTATTTATAGGCAGGTTCTCATTGAATTGCTTAGCACCTAACTTTTGCTGATTTTCAACTTGAGATCCTCCTGCCTCAGTCTCCCAAGATGCTTGGATTACAGGCATGAACCACCATGCCTGGCTAAATTAGAATTTTTATAATAATACAATGATACATATAATTTCATAAATATTATTATAATTTAAATAATATCCTTGATTAAAAAATACTTTACTTCAATATCTATATTCATATCTGTATCTGTTATATTTCTTCATTTAGGAAAACAAAATTATCTTAAATATTTAATATATAGAACTTACAAAAATGTAAAAATTAATGTATTAAATGATATATTGGTTTAAGTTGTAGGATCAGTTGATTAGAAAATGTGTAAAAATTATGGTAAATATTTTCTAAGACTTATACAAAATTTTCAGATACGTAAAAATAGTACTTAAAGAATGATATATCCACTAGATGTAGTGGCACATGCCTGTAATCCCAGTGGCTCTGGAGGCTTAGACAGGAGAATTAGGAGTTCAAAGCAATTTAGTGAGGCACTAAACAACTCAGTGAGACCTTGTCTCTACTAAAGTACAAAATAGGGCTGACGATGTGGCTCAGTGGTCAAGTGCCCCTGAGGACAATCCCTGCACCCTCTTGTCCAAAAATAAAGAAATAAATAAAACAAGAATGATAAATCCTTTAGAAGTTAATGCTTACCTGGATATTAGAAAAAAATAAACTTCATGTTGTGTCTTTTAACCTGGAGAGAACATCTCCCACACTTGTCAGAAGAACATTCACAGAGCAGAAATGACCTCTCTTTTCTGCCTAAACATCTCAACATGAATCCACTGTTTCAATTATAAATATTAACACCTTCAAAGAAGTGTGGAGAGATTCTGTAATGTTTTCTTCTGACTCTTGGGCTCAATTTACACTCTTGCTTCATGGACAATCTGGCCTCTCATCCCCTCTGAGCTTGCATACTTCCACAGGACAGCTTCAGAACTCGAATTCCCTTCACCAGGGCAGTCATGGACTGCCCACTTCCCTTTGTGTAGATAACCCCAACTTTCTCCAGCAAGTCAGATTTTAACCATTAATTCTTTGGGAAACCTCCCCACAACACCTTCATTGGACATAGCCTTCCATTATGTACTCTATAACACTGTTTATCTCCTTCATGTTACATACAACAATGAAAAGTTTTCATTTCTGTGAATGTTCTGAGTATATATTTCCTGCTGGTCTACGGGCTACATGAGAAGACAGATTATGTGCAATTCTGATGAAAGT